TAGAGACAGGGTCTCCCTAATTTGTATGCCATTGCACCCAGCAATACTTTTCTTGTAAGGTAAAGTCCTTTGTTTCCATTGGTAGGTATTACTATAGTCACATGGGCATGAAATACCTTTATACTCTATAGAAGACATATCTTTCAAGGGCAATCAAATATTCTACAACATCTCTCTTTCAGCAGAGAGGAAGATTACAACATTCAAACTAGATACGTTCAAAGTTCTGAAAATCATTTTCTGACTACACCTCATTCATATCTTCCATAGACTTTCACACCTCATAGATTCACACTTCATAGCCTCCTTGCAGCTCTTAAAATGCCTGCAATTGACTTTCACCTAGTCAAAACAGCATCTTTCCTAACATACTAAGGGGAACTCACTAACACTGAGCTTCATCTTGATATCCAACTCTATTCTTATTCTTTTTTGGAATATTTCGTCTTCCCAATTTAAACTACACACTTCTACTCTGAGAAGGATGCATTTTGGAAACATATTTGTAAATACTCATACTCATATATTCCAAATGTAACATTATATTATAATAAATAAAAATAATATTATATTTGCAACACATGGGCCACAAATCAAGAAGCTAACATTACAGTTCACTATTTTATTGATCTGTAAATAGTGCTAGGCAATGACACATAAAAGATAAATGATAAACCCTATTTGAAAATGTATCTTTCATGTTAAAATCACTCAGCTGAGCATATGCAGAGAAACTTATTTGAATATCCATCCTGTGCCTTCAATGGCACTGGAAGAGGTAATTAAATTCTGGGCAAATAACGAACGAAAGTATAGACTATGGATCCAATTAAAACAGGACCTTTCCTTTTTTTTTCTTATTACAGGCTTATTTATAGGGGAAATGGTTGGTAAATACTTGGATGTAGATGAGAATCAGTGTAGTATGAAAGGTTATCTTATTGACACAAAACAAGTACACTCAAATTCTAAGTGCTTACACTTTTCTTTGTTTATAACAGAGGTGCTCAAAGTTTGGACTTTGAGGCCTAGTGGCCCACAAAATCATTTTAGGGGGTCTGACACTAATTTAAAAAGAAAAAAAAAACTATAAGTACATAATAGAACAATCAGTAGAACTGAGGGAAGGGAACAGGGTGGGAGGAAGGGAGGGGAAGAGAAGTATTGAGAACTTAATTAGATGAAATTTTATTCCATTCTTTTGTAATTATATCAAAATTAATTCTATTATCATATATAACTAAAAAGAGCCAATAAGAAAAACTATTTTTATAAACTCTTTTGCCATTTTTTATTTCATTCTTATAAGAGTGTACAGTGGAGTTTTCCAGAAGCTACATGATGAATGACATCACATTAGATTAAATACAGAAGCAAGAATGAGAATGAAGCTGTTTTTTTTTTAATTTAGCCAGACTTTGAAGAGATTTATAACTCTATTTTTTTTCTCTTGCTAATATTTTTTTAAATACAGTTACATTTAATAAACAGTGTTATTTATTTTCAATATATAATAGGTTTACTATTGTTATTTTAATTGAATGAATAAACAAATAATTTAAAAGTTGTCTAGGTTTTAATTCTAATATGATAAATGACAATATAAATAATCTATAAAAATAAAATGTATTTGGGGTCCTTAATAATTCTTTAGTATAAATGGCTTCAGAGACCAAATAGTTTTTATTTCACCTTGGTGATCTCATTGAATCCCATATATTATAGGCTGAATTGCATTATTAGTAGAGTTCATAATGGAGTAGGGTGGGCCTGCTCTAACATGACTTGTGTCTTTATTATAAGAACACCATGTGAAAAGACAGACATGCACACAGGGAGAATGCCATATGAAAACTAGTGTCATGGTGCCACAAGTCAATAAACTACCAGAAGCTAGGGGAAAGGCATGGAACAGATCCTGCTCTTGTGTGTTTGTAAGTAACATAGCCCTAATGATATCTTAATTTTGAATTTCTAGCCTCTGGAAGTATGAGATAGTATACATCTATTTTTGTAAGCCCTCCAGTTTTTGGCATTTTGTTATGGAAACCTAGCAAACTAGCATATCATAATTTTAATCTTCAACAAAAACAATGATTCCTAAGTCTAGCTCAGACCTCTTTCCTGAGTTTCATATTCACATAAACAATGACTTATCAGAAATTTTCCTACTCTATTAGGCATCTAGAAACTAAACATTGTCAAAATGACAATAATCATTGTAACCCCCGCCCCCGACCAAATCTGCTCTATTCCTGAATTTTATTTCTCTGAGAATAATGTCACCTTCTCAAATGCCTTCCTCCCTTTATTCCCACATCTTACCAATCATCAGAGACTGGTAGTTCAATCTTTCAACATCCCTTTGATATAAAATTTTATTTGTCAACTTGGCTGGTTCATGTGGCCCAGATATTTGGTCAAATGTTATTCTGGATGTTTCTGTGAGGATGTTTTAGATGAAATTAACTTTCAAACTGGTGGACTTTGAGTCAAGCAGATTGCCCTCCATTATGTAGATGGACCTCATTCAATCAGTTAAGACCTGAATAAAACGCAAAGACTAATTTCCTCTGAACAAGTGGGAGTTCTGCAGCAGATAATCTTCAGACTTGAACTGCAACATTGGCTCTTCCCTGGGTCTCCAGCCTGCTGTCTTACTCTGTTGATATTGGACTTGTCAGCCTTCATATCACAGGAACCAATTCCTTAAAAGAAGTCCCTCTCTCCACTCTCTCTACAGAGAACTTTTTTTAATTTACTTATTTATATTATTATTATTATTATTATTATTTGCATTACAATACAGAGAACTTTTATACACCTCTTACTGATCATTTTTTTTAACCTTCTTGTTGCTGCATAGTTCAGGCCACTATCAGCTCTTGTTTGCACCATGAGAGTATCCTCAAAACCTTTGCTGTCTCAAACCTTTCCTGTCTGGATGCATTCTTTCTGGTTTTGCCCAAATGGTCTAAGAAACCTAAGTTCATCATTTTCCAATTTATAAACATTCATACGCTTCCAATATTTTTCAGGATAAGACCCTTAGCACACCACAAAAGAAAGCTCACAATCTACCCACTACTACCACTTCTAGTGAGCCTCTTCTCTCACTACTCCTCCATGAACAAAAGGGAACTAACTTTTAGCACTCTTCTATTACTTTTATTACCTTATAAGTGATAAGTTCCTGCAAATATACATTGAAATACTGGGCAATTACTTCCTAATTGAGTAACCTTCAGTCAAAACACTACTTCTCTTGATCCTAATTATAAATTTGTTTGCTAAATTATGTGGAGACTACTCTATAAAATTCAGGTGTTTATATAACAACTTTTATTCTCTTGAAATTATGTTAATGTGTTTCTTGGACAGAAGAAATAAACTACAGTCAATTTCTGAAAAATTTTATGTATTTCAAAAGTATGAAGAATACAATCAATGGCATAGATATTATTTTATGAAATTAGCCATTAAAAGGCATTACAGCAGAATACTTGATAATGATTAATCACTTTAAACACATAATAACAGTTAATAATTAAACTCTGGTCACAAACTGCCTGGGTTCAAATCTAGGTTCTACCTCTTACTACCTTTGTGATCTTGGGCAACTTCTCTTAGTTTAGCATTTATTTATTTATTTTTGGCACCAGGGATTGGACCTAAGGGTGCTTTACCATATCCCAAGCCCTGTTTGTTTGTTTGTTTATTTATTTATTTATTTATTTATTTTGAGAAATGATCTCACTAGGTTGCTTATTACCTAAGTTACTGAGGCTGGCTTCAGTAGCTGAACCTGCAATTCTCCTGCCTCAGCCTCCTGAGCCACTGGGATTACAGATGTGCACCACCACATCTGGCTTCCTCATTTTACAATGAGGTAATAGAACTTTCTTCATAGGGTTTTATGAGGATTAAGTAGGGTTAAAGATGTAAAACAGCTAAGATAGTTCTTGGTACATGCTATATGACAGTTGCTATTTTGACAGTGGTAAGGATAAGTGCACAGATAATATAGCCAGACTACTTGGATTCTATTTCAAAGCTAATATTTTCTATTTGTGCAAATTTGGAAAAGTTCCTTAATTTATACGAGCCTCAATTTCCTGTATGTAAAATAAGATAATCATAGCATCTTCCTCATACATATGTGAGAATTGACCTAAAAATCTTAAAATAGTGCTTGGCATGTGGCTGATATTATACAGTGCTTCTAAGTTTTACTATTGTTATCTTCAATGATAAATGGTCCAATATTAGTCATACTACCTATTATCTTATTCAGATTTTATTTTGTTTGAAATTCTCTAAGCCTCTGGTGGTGAAGGCTATGTTCTTTATTCTTAAATTTTCAGAGTACAAATACCTGTCTACCAATCACTTTCTTCTTTTTCTCTCTCTTTAAAAACTAAGTCAAATCAAAGAACCCACCTAAAATATATGATCATTCTTGCTAAGCAAGGAAACAACTTACTTTACACTAATGTGGATGGGCCAGCAACTTTTACTTAGGCTCAGAGCTGAATAAGATGCTCTGCTATTTTTTTCAACTTGTAATAGTGCTGTCAATATCTATTATGACTTGAAGTGTTCAAGCCCTCAAGGAAGACTGTTGTAACTGCACTTCCAACTGATATGTACCACCAAAGTGAAACTAAGGTCTAGGCCACATCTCTCCATGCTGTGTTTTTCACTTTTCATCTCACTCCCTTCTTCCTTTACCACTGCCTCATTCAGATCATTATAATAAAATCAATGAGAAAAAGATGATCTCAACAACATAACACCTTGCACTGATTATCAAAATCCTGAATGCTCAGTGTAGCGTGAGAAGTGATAGATAGTATCATTAGAGAAATTGGACACAAGTAATTAATAATACTGTAAATTTTCTATGAATATGATTATTTACTTTATAGTCGAAAAATCAACTAGTGAAATTATTTTGCACTTTTGTTATCTTTTAAAAATAATTAGAAATACTTCTGTACCTTTGTTTATATCGATGAGCTGTTTCTTTTTCTTCTGGCGTTCCACTTTTTCTTGTTCAGCTTTCTCTTTTGCAAGCTTTGCCCTCCTAGTCTTCTCTTCCATTTCTCTTCTCTTATTGTTTTCTTTTACTGCTTCCTGTAGGTATAAACACAATTAAACAAAATCCTTTCCATGAGTTTTATAATGGAGAAGTCGCATGGTTTTAAAATTATACAAATATGCAGAGATGGAAAGTTACTATAGCATCCTCAAAGTGTGTGCATATGTTTTTAAGAATGACAACTAATTAATCTTAAGACAGCTCTTCTTGAAAATAATTTAGAAATAACTGAGTCTTCAATTGCCACTATCTGGGGTGCAGGAAAATTAGGGACATCAATGTTGCAGATTTAGCAATAAAATGCTTTCTCCATTGTTGAAATATGAAATAGTTTTGATACGAGGAAAAGCTTAATATGGCTCAGCAAGTATTTTATTACTTACTGTACAGTTTTTTGTTATCTGCAAAGTGGAAATAAAAAAAAAACAACTACCTCATAGGATTTTTGTGAGGAGAACTGAGGATTTTTGTGAGAAGTGTTTTAAGCACTTAAAGTACTTAGAACAGAGTTTAATATAATCAAGAAATTTTAGACTATGATGATGATGGTGGTGGTTACAGTGCTATTGGTAATGATTACATCTAATGATGCAGAGCATAAAACAATCAGCACTATTATCACAGAAGAGAAATATCTGTAAGTTTAGTCACTTTTTATGTGAAAAAATATTTCAAAATCTTCAAACATATTTCAAGCTATTGTCTGTTTTATTTTGGTTAGATTATTTGTGGAATGTCAGTGAATGAGTATATTTAAGTAGATGGTGTTAGAGTTGAAGTAAAATGATTGGCTGGAATAATATCAACTTCCTCAGAGTTCAGACAAGTCACTAATACAGAGACATATCAACTACAAGTTCCTTCCATCAAGTTGTTCTGGTTTTATTTCCTGTTATGATTGATTAGATATACTTCATAGCATGTACAAACTATTTTGCCCAACTTACTTTGTTCCAGAAACCCTAAAGAAAAAGACTCAATAACAAGAATACATCTACAAGACTTTGCCTGAAGCAATCTATATTGAAATGTTTTTTCTTCATGTTAAAAGATATAATAGTTTAGGGCTAGGGCTGTAGTTCAGTAGTAAAGCATCTGCCTCACATGTGTGGGGCACTGGGTTTGATCCTTAGCATCACATAAAAATAAATAAATATATTGTGTACTAAAAAAAGATACAATAGTTTAAAATATCCCTAAAAACACTTCCAAACTCTCCTGACTTGTGTGAGTTGATTTTCTTCTACAAAATCTAAATGAGCTGTGGATGGTCCTGTACACTTGTAACCCCAGCTACTCAGGAGCTGAGGCAGGAGGATTGCTAGATTGAGGCTAGCCTAAACAACAGAGAAAGACCAGATCTTAAAAAATGAAAAGGAATGGGGATATAGTTCAGTGCTTTCCTAGTGTGGGTGAGCCTCTAAAGTGAGCCCATTGATTCAATCCCCAGTACTGAAAAACAACAACAAAAACCAAACAAACAAAAAACCACACACAAAACCTCTAAATGATTTTATCTTTATTGGTATCTCCTCTTACATTACCCTTGTTAGGTTAATATCTCCTAGCAAAAGATTATGAGCACAAAACTATCTGGCAACTGTACACAAACTCAAAGAAAACCATATAAAATAAACTGGAAAATGAGAATCAGAATTTTAGAGCAGCTTCTCAAGCCCAGCTTTACTGTCAATTTGGGTTGGATAGTTCTTCGTGGTAGAGGCCGTCCTGTGCATTATAGGACATTCAGCAGCATCCTTGGCTTCTACCTACTAGATACCCAGTAGCATCTTTTTCAAATATGACAACCAAAACTGTCTCCAGAGATTACCAAAGGTTGCCTAGAGGGGAAAACTGACTAACTTGAGAACTACTAACTTAAGGGGTTTTAGAAAGATAATGTACTCAGAAAAAAATATCACATACTACTACTCTGTAGAACCAATCGTCCTTTTACAGTCATGGAAAATGAGTTCCAAATGAGCATATATATTTACCTAGGGTCTCTAAATTTATATAATTACAAGGTTGGGAAGAGAACCCTTGTCTTTTCACTCATATTTTAGTGTCAGCTTTGTTCATTAAGGAAAAATAAAATGTAGATGTGGCACCAAAAGTATAAGCAATAGCCCCTCAAAAAATAGACAAATTAGACTTCAACAAAATTCAAAGTTTTTGTTCATCAAATTATACCCAAAGAAGGTGAAGAAACAACCCACAGAATGGGAGAAAGTATCTGAAAATAATATATCTAATAAGAATATATAAGCCAGGCCAGGCACAGTGGTGTACTCCTGTAATCCCAGCTGCTTGGGAAGCTGAGGCAGGAGGATTGCAAGTTCAAAGCCAGCCTCAGAAACTTATGGAAGCACTAAGCAACTCAGTGAGACCCTGTCTCTAAATAAAATACAAAAAGGGCTGGGCATGTGGCTCAGTGGTTGAGTGCCCCTGGAATCAAACCCCAATAAGAAAAAGAAAAAGAAAGAAAGAAAGAAAGAAAAGAAAAGAATATATAAAGAACATCTCAAAGAGGAATGAAGGGAAGGGAGAAGAAAGAAAGAAGAAGAAAATACAGTGGAATGAATTGACATTATTTTCCTATGTACATAAATGAATACACCACAGTGAATCTCCAGATCTTGTACAACCACAAGCCTGGAAACCTAATTAGAACAAGATGTATTCCATGTTGTATAAATATGTCAAAATACACTCTACTATTTTGTGTATAACTAAAAAGAATTTTTAAAAGGTGAAAAAAGAATATATAAAGAACATCTACAACTCAATAAAATGGCAACTCAATAAAAATGTACAAAGCATTTGCAAAGATATTTCTCAGAAACCATGAATATTGCTAATAAGTACATGAAAAGATGTTCAACATCATTAATCACTAGGAAAATACAAATCACAATCATATTGAATGGGCTGGATGTATAGCTCAGTGGTAGAGTACTTGCCTAGTATGTAGAAGGTTCTGAATTCAATTCCCAATGCCACCAAAAATGAAAATAAAAAAAATACATTGAGGTACTACTTCATACCCACTATGATGGCTATAGTAATTTTTAAAAAGAACAGAAAACAAATGAGGATGTGGAGAAATTGAAACTTTTGTGAATTACTCATGTGAATGTAAAATGGTGGTCATTTGAGAAAACTGGGAATTCTTTAAAACACTAAGCAGAGTAAATGGTAGCATAACCTGATTTGTTGAGATCCCCAGAGTCATGCCTCCCAACCTACAGAAGCATTGCAGTTACATGAGCATTATTCCTAACAGCTGAAAAGTAAAACTCAAATGTTTACCAACTAGTGAATGGATAAACAAAATACAGTATATATCCATACAATGGAATATTATTCAGCAATAAAAAGAATGAAATACTGATTCTTGCTGAAATTATGGATGAATCTCAAAAAATACCATAATTAATTAAGATGCCAAGCATAAAAGGTCACATATTGTGTGATTCCATTTATATGTAATGTCCAGAACAGGCAAATCCATAGAGACAGAAAGTGGATGCATGGTTGTGAGGAGGTGGAGGAAGGGTTTCTTCCTGGGGGTGATGAAATTGTTCTGGAATTAGTGGTGATGGTTGCACAACCTTGTGAATATACTAAAAACTACAGAACTGTATACATTAAAAGAAAATTTTATGATATATAAATTACATTTCAAAAATTAACATTGAACATTTAAAAAATAGATATCGGAGAAAGGCAGGATTGAAATAAAATAATAACTCAAGGAAAAAGAAAGACAATGTGAAAAGGTATCATATATTCAGACCCTGATGCTATAAGCTGTATGACTTTTGGTCAGTAACATAAGATGCAAGCAGCATAGGAAAGAAGGTTAACGTCATGCATATGTTATTACCTGTCAAATCTCTGATGTGCTAAAGAATCACAAGATCTCAGTAGACTCCTGTATTAATAATCTAATGGGGTATGTTAGCTGTAGATTACTGTCATTAGGGATCTTCACTAAAAGTTCATTAAAATGGAGGGAAAAGATCCCAACTGTTATCTTGCATTTGTATTTCTTCTTCTGGTAATATAAAATATATATTTGGTCTTCCCAGTTTCCTGGCATACAACTCCTAAAATCCTTGGAATCTGCAAAGTAATAGTGTCTTTTCGTAGGCTAATAAGATTAAAAGTGGTTGGTAGCCACTTCATAACTTCTGGAAAAATAAAGGGAAGATTAAAAAAATGGAATTTTCAATTTCAAATTCCAATCTGGGGAGAGAAGAGGGACAGAAGGTTAAAATGATCACCAATGGCCAACACTTTAATCAATCATGCCTTTGTAATGAAACCTCCATAAAACCCCAAAAGGATTGGGTTCAGAGAGTTTGCAGACAGATAAATATGTGGGGGCTTGCAGGAAGATCAACAGGAACGTGTCCCTGTGCTGGGAGGGTGGTATACTCTCCATGGAGACAACTCCAGAGAGACAGAAACTCCTGCAATTGGGACTCTTCCAGACCTGGCCCTGTATAACTCTTCATCTGGCTGTTTATTGTATCCTCTAAATATTGTTCATAGTAAACTGGTAAACATGTTTCCCTGAGTCCTGTGAGCCATTCTAGCAAATTAATTGAAAAGCTGAGGTGAGGGTGATGGTGGTGGGGGGGTGCCCGTGGAACCCTGAATTATAACCAGTTTCACAGGTCAAACAAACCTGGGCCTGGTATCTGAAGTGGGAAGAGAAGCAATCTTGGGGACTGAGCCATCAACCTTTGGGATCTAACACTATAGTGCCTGAGTTGACATGGATTAGTGCCACAGTCTGGCTGGGCACAAATGCCGCAGTCTGGCTGGGCACACAATCACGAGCCACCACACAGCTTGTAGATTCAAACAGCAACTCTTTATTCCCGAACTCACACCAGCCGTCTACAATCACGTTCTGGGGAAATCCAAGTTCTCTGCCCAAATCCACGTTCTCTGCCCAAATCCACCTCCACTGGGCATCTGTCTCCCAAAAAATACTGTCTGAATCCCGTGAGAACTCAAGGGG